TCCTGAGATAAAAAAAATTCAGAATATAAACTTTTAAAACAACAAACTTTTTGTTCTTAATATCAGAAATTAGATGATTAATTGGGCGCTTTGAAAAATCTAACGATACTTTAAAATAAAGAAATTTTCAACAAAAATTTTTATCTCAGGACATTTATCTACATAAAACAAATAAAAATACAAAAAATTAGAACTTAATAAATTATACTTTTTGAGATATCTTTGCCAAGATTTTAGCCTGTTTTTGGCCTAAAATCACCTGTTTTAGCCCAAAATATATATGAAAAAAAAAAAAAAAATTAAAAATTATGAATTTTCTAATGTATTTATCATGTTCGAAGTAAAAAAATTTATTGAAATATTGTAAAATACAAAAATAATTTTTTTAGCAGTCTACCACCTTAAAACTAAACATGAACTCTCTCCTATTGTATTTCAGTCTTACTTTAGTGAAATCTCGCACAAGTATCCTACTAAATTTTTAATTAAAAACTTTATTGTTCCAAAAACTAATTCAAAACTAAATTCTTACAAAATCCAATAACGTGGACTGTTTCTATGGAAACATTTTTCAAAATTTATCACAAAAAATAATAATGTTCAACACATCTCTTTGGAAAAATTCAGAAAAGAATCTAAGAGTCTCTTATTACAAAAAGACTTTGATTTAAAGTATCTCTTTTAAAAATAATATAAATTATCTAAAAAAATAGTTATTGACACTACTTCTCTTTTGTTGCAATTTTAATCTAATTTAATTTTTTGTTGGAAAATTTTAATACTTTTAAATTATTGTTAATCTTTGATATAATGCGTTATATTTCGACACTAATATTTATATTATGTTATTAGTTATATTGTAACTAACGTATTTAAAATTCTTGTTATGTACTTAGCTACTCTTTATTTTTTATATTAACTGACGATTTTTTAATGTAAATTTTATGATGGGGCTTGATAATAAGACAATTTATGTCTTCTGCTTGCTCCAGTTCTCTTATTTATTAACACGATTTATTTCATTGTAAATTTTAATATATGACAAAACTCTTTGCTTAAAAAAAAAAAAAAAAAAAAAAAAAAAAGCCCTCCTCGGGACGTCTGTCGTTGTCTCTAAACATAACATTAACATAAGTATTCCAACAAATGCACAAAACCTTTAGATGAAATAACTAAAAATATCATTTCTGAATAGTTTATTAAAAAAAATCATATATCTCAAATAAACAGATTAAAACTGCAACACTACATCCGAAATATGGTTTTTGTTGATTATAAAAACATTATTTATTATTAAAAAACGTTATCAATGCAGCTAATACCAAAGCATATTTTATTTTAAAATGCTTTAAGTCTCGTGATACGAGTATCTTAGTAAAAACCTTCATTACATTTATAAGACCGGTATTATAATATTGCTCCTCAGTCAAGTGGTCATATATAATTTAAAAAAAAATCATAGTTGCGGACGTGCAAAAGCGTTTCACAAAAAACATCCTACAACTGCGCAACGAATTCAATTGCTTATTTTAAAGTCACTTTAGACAAGGGAAATAAAAAATGACACATCGAATCACTTCAAATTCTGCATAGCTTGGTTTCTGTTGATAAAACTCCCCAAAACTAAAAATCATTATATATATATATATATATATATATATATATATATATATATATATATATATATATATATATATATATATATATATATATATATATATATATATATATATATTTATTTTACAACTGCAAAGTATTTACATGTAACCAATCACAGATTGGCGGTAAAAATATTAAAATATAAATATGATCATAAAGTCCAAAATATACAACGTAAATAAAAATATAGTAGCATACAACTCCGAGACATGATTAAAATAAATATCAAATACAACAATGTAATAATGTAAATGTAAAAAATTTCCATGAAATAAATCTCTAAATTCTTCCAATTAAAATAAATAAAGTTCAATAAATAAAAACGAATCTGCTAATTTTTTGAAGATGTTTTAGTAAATATTTTCTTACCCCATTTCAAAATGATATTTGTGTATAAAAACAAATTTTACATAAAATTGATAAAAAAAGTTAAAAGTTTAGTTTATTAGTTTATTAGTTTATTTCGCCGTTAAAAATATTTACAAAGTACAACAATATAAAAAGTACAATTGGCTGGAGCAAGAAGAAGGCATAAAATAGCCTTATCACCGAGCCCCAATAGTAACGCAAATAACTATCCGTAATATACAATAATCCGTAATATATAAGCAAAAGTATTTAAAAAAAGACAATTTAAAATGTTAAGAAACAAAGTTAAAAAGAAGGGGAAAAAAAAAAAAAATTAAAATAATTGAAGAAAAATAAAAAAAATAAAAAAAAATGATTAAAATATAGTAATAAAAATGACAAAAATTTTATGCTTTTGGTTATAAATTGGATGTGATTCGACATATATATTTGTATATATTATTTTCTTTCAAAATAATTCAAAATTCAAATAAAAATTCTGTTCCAATATTATAAAATATATCAAGAAAATTGTAGGTAACTTTAAGAGAATATATATATTCAATGAAAGTATGATAAAGACATTGAAATTCTTAGTATTGTTAAATGGTCTAGATTTTTAAATTTATGGTGCAAATTTAGTTTAATAAATTTTAAAGCTTTAAAAGTGACATTGAAGATCTGCTATATTAAAATCCCCAAGTACTAAATAACGTCTTCATTTAGATTTGAATTGCGGAAGTGTTTTTTTCTTTAATATTAACAATATGGTGAAAGTTTTTCCACAAAATTGGACCCCTGTACTGAATAGAATAAGAATATAACTTTAGATTATACTTTTGAGTTACAAAGTTATTTTCTGAGAACTTGGTGGGGTATTTATGGCTTACTTCTCTAAAATAAGGATAGAATATCTCTGGAGACAGTCCATGTTTTATTTGATACATGAACTGTATGACGAGGAATATGTTAATTTTAAACACATTTAATGCATTGAGTTTACGTAAAAGTGGCTCACAAGGCACAGATCTTTTTACTCCAAATACAATTCTACATGCATGTTTTTGTTTAGTATAAATTTTCTTTAACTTAGCGTAGCTATTGCTTGCCCATACGATATTGCCGTAAGTTAGATAACTATGTATGAAGGAAAAATATAAACTTTTTAGAGATCTTATATCCAAAAATGGTTTTGCTTTATACATCATTGCAATGTTTATTGAAAGTTTTTTTTCAAGAGTGTTTATATGTTTCCTCCATGTTAAATTTTCGTCTAAAATAATACCTAAAAAGTTTACAGTTGTTTGCCTAGTAATATTTATATTATTGGTTTTAAGATTGGGTAATTTTAAAGGAAGGTTTCCTGTTTTGGTTGGTTTGTGAAATAGAATAAATTTAGTTTTGTTAACGTTAAGTGATGTAAAGTTTATTACAAATAAACCATTCATTTACTTTGTTTACTTCTTCATTAACTACTTTAAAGAGGGTTTTAGTATCCCTATGAGAATAAAACAGATTGGAGTCATCAGCAAACAAAATAAAGTTTAGTATGTTCGAGGTAAGAGATAGATCATTTATATAAAGAGAAAACAGTAACGGTCCTAAGATTGAGCCTTGAGGAACACCACATTTTATTATACTTTTTGTCGTTTTAACATTTTCATATTGAATGTATTGCTGCCTGTTTGATAAGTAATCTTTAAACCAAAAGGAAGCTTGCAAAAACTGAAGTCAGTTTTGTCATCAAGTACCTTTATTTTAGACGTGTAACTCACATAGAAATTCAGTTGCATAGGAGTTATATATATGTATGCGTTACAAATATACTTTATTATTATTATTGTATATATATTTTTATCGTTTTCTGTTAAATGTTAAGATTTTTTTTTATTATGCATGAATGTATTTTTATTCAGTAATCAATAATTATTTACAGTTTTATTAAAATCGCACAATAAAAACAGTTCATGGTACGAATTTATCTAAACTGCATATTCTAATTATTGACGGAGAGAGGCTGACAAAAACCCCTCTTTTCTGACAGTATTTGCAATTATAGCTGCGCCAGCCAAATTGCATGAATAAATCGTACTATCGAAGTCTACATTTAAAACAATTGAGTGATGGTGCGTTTACTGTAGTAGTTGTTAAGTAGTTCCAGTTTTTAACCATTCGGTTAGTGAAAAAAGTACGTCTTTCTTCATGTTTCAATGTTTTCGTGTCACGGTAAGGAAGAAGGCGTTAACTCTTCCTGGTTAAATGCACTTCCGCGCTGCTCTGTGACAAGACCGTTAGGTCTTCTTGGAGCACCTAAATAATAATTTAAAAAAAAATGAGTTCTGTAAAATGTTCTGAAACCAGACTTTATTTAGTTTATATTTAAACATGATTTGTTTTAGTAGGGATTGAGCATAAGTAAATTTGTTTTTGTTGTACACAAATCTTGAAGCGTGCTTTTGACGAAAGTAAAGTAGGTACGTGACATGAAAATTTTAAATTAATTAAATAGTAGATTGTTATATATCATTAGAAAGGCCTTTAATTCAATTTTTCAAAAGTGAAAAAATTATAAAAATTGGACAATTCTATAAAAAGTTATACTTGATTAAGTGACGAATTACCGATATATGAATTTCTTGATAAAACTGAAACAAAAAAATTTTTAATCATAACTTAGTCAATTCTCATCAAAATTCTTATATCTTGGTATCAAAATATAGTTGCAAGAATAACCTACAAAATTATAACAACCTTGAGCGATTGGACATACGTGGGGTGCGGCGGGCGCACAGAAACGCCATCTTTGCGGTCAATAAAAAGAGATTTTTATTAATAAAAACGTGTTTCTTCAGGAAACCGGTCTATTTCATATGCAAAAAGTTGTTACAATTTCATTACACTTCACTGCCAAATATCAGAGGTTCATTAAAAATATGGGGTGGACGTTGGGTGTTAAAATTTAACACACCCTAATTTAAAAAGACAATCATTCTCATAATTATTTTTATCTTTATTTCAAAATATACATCTAATAGATCAAGTTTATAAAATGAATTAATTTTTTTACATTTTTAAAACAAAAAGTAGTGGTGTACACAAAGACACAAGAAAAGGGCGTATCCCTCCCCCTCTGACCTAAAAAAAATTTTAAATGAGGTTTCCTAAAATAAAAATTGCTATTATTTTTAATGTTTTATTTTAATATAAAATTATTTTTACCATATTACAATAGTAGTATTAAAAGATGCATCAGAGTACTCATTTTTGCAGAGGGGGTGGGAGTTACCCCCTCTAACCTAAAAATATAAAAAAAAATTAAAATGACATTTGCTAATACAAAAACTGCTATTATTTTATATATTTTATTTTAATATAAAATTATTTTTACCATATTACAGTAGTAGTATTACAAGATGCATCAGTCTTCATATTTGCAGAGGGAGATGTCAAATCCCCCCTCCGACCTAAAAATATTTTTATACATTTATATATAATTCCAAACAACAATTATGTGTTTTGGCTTTTAGTTAATGATTAAGATAAGTTTCCAGTAATGAAACTATATAATAATCATTGTTAACGATAGACACGACGTGAATCTTAGCCAAAAACCGTCTATCAAAAAAATTGCAAGTTCCACTACTTGCTGCACATTAATTTTGCAAGTTTCACTAGCTGCAATATTCTGAACATTTATGTTGCAAGTCCCACTATGTTTTGCAAGTTCCACTACTCGCTGTACGTTTATGTTGCATGTTCCACAATTAGCTGTACATATATTTTGCAAGTTCCACTACTTGCTGTACGTTTATATTGCAAGTTCCACTTCTTGCTGTACATATATATTTATTATATTTTCTCTTTATCACCCGGTAGTAAATTACAGGTAAAATAATATTTAAATAGTCAAACAATAAATTAAAAATCAGCTAAAACAACACGGCTCTTGTAGTTGTTAGCAATAAATGCTTATAAACAGCCGGTTTGCTTTCCACATATTATTGGGAAAGAGTTCTAGGAACATTCTCCTCCATCAAGATTTTAAACGCCTCTCTCTTTTCTTTCAAATTCCAAAACTGGAACGTTTCTTTCAATATTAGCATAATATTAGTTTGTAGCTCTACGATGGGTTGCGTCAATTTAATTTTTTTGCCATTTAACATGCACTGTATGAAATTTAAATTAAGTGTGTTGCATGCATCAATTACTTCGTTTGTAAAGGATTTTTTATTCTGTGTTTCCTGTATTTGATTAAGTGAGTAACAAGTTTGATTTTTCAGCAGCCTGATAAAAAGATTAACTTTGTTCCTAAGGAGAATAGTTGAGATATCTTCTATTTTAAAAAAAGAATGAAGGTAATTTTTACTGTACTTCGAAATACAGAAAAATGATTTTAAGACTGCTCTTCCAACAGCGCCTAGTTTGCTGAGAAAATTAGTATCATATTTACATAGTTCAAGACCATATATAATACATTATAATAATATCTGTACAATACATTAACAGTGCTTCGGCACTGTTAATGTATTGTACAGATGAACAATTGTTGATGGCTGGCAGTAACGAATCCCACTGTCGATTAGAGCTTTTGCAACTGATTGAAACTGAGTTATACGCTCATTTAAATTTTTTTTTTGGAGTGTCGCAATTTTATTTTTGCTGGTATCGTTATCCTATTGAAAACCCAGATGTTTTAATTTATTTTGAAGATATTTAGAAACACCATTAACTTTAACAACGTTGTTAGGAATAAAACTTTTTCCAGAAATCAGAAATTCTGTTTTCTCAGTGTTTAGCTTGATAAAGTTTGCTACTCCATATGTTTGAAATCTGTTAATCAGTTCCTGCAGACCAGAGATTGTGGGGCTTAGCAAAATTACATCATCTGCGTATGCAATTACACCAGTATAAACTCCATTTATTGTCGATCCTACTTTACATTCTGAGACAATTTCATTTAGGATGCTTTCAGTATAAATGTTATATAAATGTGGCAATAGAATAGACCCTTGTCATACCCCTTGTGATAGACTGAATTGATTTGAGGTAACACCTTGATAGGATATGTTTGCAGAACCAGAATGATAAAGGGATGATATTGTGTGTACTACAGACAACGAAAGTTTTTTTTGGAAATACAGCTTCTCAAATAGCAAATCCCAGTTGCAAGTGTCAAAAGCTTTATTAGCATCTAAACTGCACATATATAAAGGCGTGTTATTGTTTTTATAGTGCATAACAGTTTCGCTCAGTAAAAATTCTGCGTGGAGAGTAGAACTGTTTTTTTTAAAACCAAATTGATGGGAATGGCTATCTGTTATACTAGGGCATTTTTGTAGTATTAGATATTCTAGAAGTTTAGTAAAGATAGGTAAAATACTAATTCCTCGATAATTATCTGGATTATTAAGAGATTTTTTATATGACTTAACAAGTGGAATAATTGTTGAAGTCGATAGATCATTTGGTACTTTTCCATTCGATAGAATACTGTTATAAAATTTAGCGAGCCACAAAAGAAGATTATTATTATGAGAGTTTTTAAGGTGTTCAGCACTTAACCCATAGCTATCTGGGGACTTATTACTATTTAATTTTGAGATGCAATTTATAATATCAGCTGATGTTATGATTAGTGATTTAGGCTCTTTACTTAGAGATGGAATTTGAGAAGGATTATGGTTATTATTTAAAATAAGAGGCGTATTGAGAAGAGTTTGAAAATGTTGTCTAAATTCTTGAACGATATCTTTTATATTTTACGATTGGTTAATTGTAAATAATCGAGTTGTTGCTTTAGTTTTGATTTTACGGATGTTATCCCAGAACCTCTGAGGATTAGTGGTTGGAAGATTTTCAATATTTATAGTTTTTTCGTGGATCTTTTTGTTATGAGCTGCTTTAACTGCTTTACGGAAGTTTTTGCGTGAAAAGATGTATCTTTTGTATTCAATGCATTCTTGGTTTTTATTATAATTAGATTTTTGCCATTGTTTATAGTTAAATGAAAGATTTTCTTTGCATTTTTTAAGGTCCGTTGTCCACCATGATTTGGAATACTTACAGATTTGTTGTTTAAAGCACTGCTTAACTGCTAACAAAGCAGCATTTTGGATTTTTTCGCCTGTTTGTTTTAATTCTTGTTCAATTTCTTCTTCATTGAAGGTGTAGTAGTTGAAAGCTGCAGAGAGGTTATGATTATATATGTTAATGAATTTTTCGTTATTCCATGCATATTTTGGAATACAATTATATTTATGCATTATGCTATTTATTACGGTTGATAGATTAGTATGTGTGACAACGATATTTGTAGCGTTTGGTAAGTGATCACTAAAATTAAAAGGAGAAGGAGGAATAACGCTTGTATTTATAAATAATAAGGATGACTCTTTTAGAACTGCGATGTGATCGATATACGATGAGTTAGATAGAGTTTTATGCTGATAGGTGTATGTTGGACCAGCGCCACTGATTATATCGATAAATGAGAGCTTATTTGATTTAATGAAATTAGTTAGATGATTAGAGAATTTATTGCGTTTTTTATTATTACGGATCTCAGAATCGTAAAGTGTTTCGGGATAAGACTGAAAATCTCCAGCAATAATACATTCACTTACATCTTCGTAGTTTTTTACAATTGAAGTGATTAGGTTTAATTGTTGTTCGTTCTTTGAAAAGGATTCCTCGTTATTTCGACATGATGTGAGATAAATACCAATAAAGACTAGATTGTGACACTTATTTTTACCTTTAATAGCGAGAATATTGTCATCTTCATAGATTATGTGAGGAGACAGTATAACATCTTTTTTAATAATGAATGCGTTTCCTCCAAATGGTCTTCCAAATGCTTTTTTTTCTGCCGCATGAAAAAATACTTTATGTGTCGGCAATGCTATGTTTTTTAGCACAAAAAGTTCAATATTCAAAAGCCAATGTTCCGATAGAAAAATAATATCAAATGATTTGACCAGTTCGGAAATATAAATTGAGTTCGATTTAAAACTTTGGCAGTTATATGCACAAAAAGAAATATTTTCAAAGGTTTTACTTTCTATGTTTCTATCCATTTTGAATTAGAATTTAGTATTCGAGTTGAGTAAGAATGTTGCTGTGCAAAGGATGGTTGTTCTTTAGATGTAGAAAATATTTGTTGAGTTGGTTGTACAGAGTGTAGCGTATTAACTGCACTCTGCTGTGGTGTTTCGTTTCTTGAGGTAACACGATAAAGCCTGAATGGTTTAACGATAATATTAGTATCCCAAATATCAGGGTTTAGGATTATGTCTTTTTCATAACTTTTTATGATAACTTTGAATGAACGATTGTATCTATTTTCCCGGTTAAGCTTTACCTTAATAGGCTCAAAACCTATTTCATTTTTGATGTGGTTAGATAGGTCTTCTTCCGACATTGAGTTACAGACCCCTCCTACAAAGATATAAGATTCTCGCACCGTAGGTTCGCCTGCAATAGAGTTTCTGTTAAATGCAACTTTTTTTCCAAAAATAGGCTTCATTATAGACCTTTCTGTTGGGAAACTTTATTTGTTGAATTGATTTTTTTGACTACCATATAGGAACAATCATTTTTTTTCCAGTCCTTTCTTTTTTCAATAATTGGTGGCTGCATTTGAACCTTTTTAGCATAGGTGACTCTATTTTGGTTTCCGTTTTCGTATGTTTTTAAAATGTACTCCATAATGGTAGTCTCATCATGAAGGAAATGTAAAGGTATATTATTTAAAGTATTTTCATTATTTGAGGAATGATTTTCTATTGAATCAGAGACAAAAGATTTTTTAGTATTTAGCGGTTTTTGAAATGATAAATTACTACAGCTGTTTGAAAGCAACGTGTTTTGATTTTTTTCGATTTTTTTACACGTTTGCTGCAATTCATCATATTTTCCTTGTAATAAATGTAGGTCGTCACTAATTTTCTTGTTTTCTAATTTTTTTGTTTTAACGCAGTCGACGAGTTCTTTTAAGGTCGACAACAGACTTACATCATGTAATTGTTGACTAATTTGTTTGCAATTAGATACCAATTTATTAAAAGCTTTGTGAAGAGCTGTTTTTCTGTTAATGATATCGACATCAAATATATGTCATCTAGACATGTTGCAATTTAATAACGCTTTCTAAGGTTTTTTCTTACAGGATCTTCAGCGTCAAAAGTAATATTGATAGAAGAAAATTGATCCATATCAAAATTTTCTATAATTTCGGTAAATAGTGTTACTCTAAGATTAAAAATATCAGCTTCTTTAAGTTGCAAAAATCCTTGAATAATAACATCTTTTGGATGAGAGCATATTTCCGCGATATTATTTAAGTAATATACACATATATTATTATTCGAACTCAAAATTGAGAATATCTCATTAATTTCTCTTGGAGCCATCTTTGCATTTTTTTTTTTTTTTACTTAGTTAAAAAGCACGTCCGTGCTTTTAAAGAACCATAAGACCATAACCATAAGAACCATGCAGCAAAAAAAATTTCGCAAGTTCCACTACTCGCTGTAGATTTATGTTGCAAGTTCCACGACTTGCTGTACATATATTTTGCAAGTTCCACTACTCGCTGTAAACTATAAACAGACAAAAATATTTTAATCTGCTTTTAATTTAAAAACTTTTTACATTATAAAATATATATATATATATATATATATATATATATATATATATATATATATATATATATATATATATATATATATATATTTATTCTTATATATAATTTATTGTAACTTTGATATACGATTTTATATACTGTTTACCTTGCTCCCCCTCTGCCATATAAGTCACAGAATTACCGATAAAAGTACCTTTTCTGAGCATCGTAGAAGTGTACTTGAGCATCCTTATTTTTCAATAAAATTTGGCAGGTAGTGAGAAAATAGATATATCTACAATCGCATATAGTTTTAAAAGTCAGCACTACATTCCTTCGATAGTAATTTAATCGACGAACAACAACATAGTCTTTGACACCAATAAACTTGATATAAACGTTAACAACTTCCAAAAATGAAAACACTAATATAAAGCCAAACTATCTTTTTAAAAAGTATCTAAGATGATACAGAATTCTAAAAAATTTTAATACAAAAAACATTTTACCTCACTCACTTTAAACGGACTTCAAAAAACGTAGAACAGTTTTTTAGCACAAATTTCGGTTACGTAAAACGGATTTTTCCGCGTACTTAAGTAAAGTGGTTCTAATTTAAATTTGTGGGTACATGCTATTTTTGCATACATAAGATAGCTATGTATGAATGCAAAGTTAACAAGTTTTAGACTTTTTTTGACATGTTTAGTTGAAGTGGATTTTCCAGGAGATGTATTCATCAATTAAAACCCCTAAAAACTTTCTAATCAGAATTGATGGATATATTTTCTATATTAATTGTTAGCAGGTTCAAGGGTTTTTTTTAATTTGTTGATTACACTGAAATAGTATATAGTTAGTTTTTTCTATATCGAGTGAACATTTATTTGATCTGAACCATATATTATTTTTTTTAGTTCATCAGCAAACATTATATTTTTAAAGATATTAGGGGCATTTCGAAGATCGTTTATATAAATAAGAATAAAAAGAGGAGCAAGAATGGAACCTTGGGGTACACCCATTTTGTTTTAGAAATTTGAGTTGCTTTTTCTTTCTATGATAACACACTGTTATCTTTTATTAAGGTATTTTTAAACCATTTTAAATCCTGCTTTTTTACACCATAGTTTTTCATTTTTGTTTGTAAAATCTCATGGTTGACTGTGTCAAAGGATTGCATACTCTGTTGAGTGTTTTTGTAAACCATATCGACTTTTATTGATAATTTTGTTAGTTTTAAAATATTTATTTAATTTATTGGAGATTATTTGTTCGAAAGGTTTTGAGGATACCAAAAGAATTGAGATTGGCCTATAATTTTTTAAAGTTGCTTTCTCCTGATTTATAGATTGGTACAGTTTTTGAGATTTTTAGTTTATCAGGTACAATACCTGTTGTAACTGATGAATTAAATATTTAGTAAATTGGATTACATATCTCCTCAAAAACATCAAAAACTACTTTGCAAGGATGTCGTTGATCCCTGGGGAATGGATTTTAAGTGATTTATAGCTATTTCAAGTTTGTTTTGATTTAGTTCATTGAAATAAAAAGAGCAGCCTACAGGCTCACACTGTTAATATGTTAAGTAATTTTTAAATGTATTTTTTGGTCATTAAATTTTTGATGCAAGATCAGTACCAATGTTGGCAAAGTAGTTGTTAAATTTGTTGAAAATATCTCGCTTATTGTTTGATTCACTTTTAGTAATTATTACTCTAGAAGGCATTTTGTTAGAATTAAATTTACTTTTACCAATTATTTCCTTCGAAATGTCTAATGTCTTTTTTAAGTCTCTATTAAATTTTTGTAATTGATTAGAATAGTATAAAATTTTATATATTTTTTTATAATTTTTTCAAATACACAGCAAAATCCAAGATTCTAGGTTAAGAACTTTTGTTCTTATTTTAAGAACTTGATTCTTATTTTAGATTTCCATTCTTATTTAAAGATATTTCAATAAAAAAACATTATTCCAATTTTTATAATATTGTAACATTTGTATATTAAATGTATATATATTTATATATGTATACATATTATATATAAAGAATGTTTGTATATATATATATATATAAATATATATATATATATATATAAATATATATATATATATATATATATATATATATATATATATATATATATATATATATATATATATATCAATAGATACCTGCAGGTATACCTAAAAAATATTTAAAGAATTCAAAAAAATTTAAGCTACTGAATTTCCCCTTCTGAAAGTCCTCCCCACCCTCTGATAGACCTTGTGTTCATGATTTTATGTAATCAAATAGTCTAATCCATTTGATCGTCATTAAGACTAAAATACAAACCAGAAAAAGTCGTATACTACGAGAATTTTATAGAATTCACCTTTAATAAATGCTATATACATATCTGCGAATCTGCATAAATCTAAACAGCATAAATGTGAATCTTTTGTATGGGCGATGTAGTAGCAGAATAATATAAGTGTTAGGTGCAAGCAGGACCTGATCTTCCACAAGGCGCGTAAGGCCCGGGTCTAGGGCCCCAAAATTCATTTCTGAATTAAAATTATGAACATATGGTCCACAACAGTCCGAAAAACCAAAACAGATCGATAAAAAAGTATTTTATCAGCCAAATGTTAACTTAAAAAAGCATAAAAATTATGACTTATAAAGGTCGTCAATTAGCTGAATCAGAAATTCAGAACTTCATAAATGAGCTAGAAAACAATGAAAGTGAAGATTATGAAGATGATTAGTGGCATTAATGTCTATCAAAAGCAAAGTTACATAAAGTCTAGATTTTCAAGAGATTCTGAATTAATTTATGTATGAAAAATCAAGGAAAAAAATATACTTATTTGGATACATGTAAGTTTTAACTGTCTAAATTTATTTCATACTTTCTTATGTGTTTCTTGTAACCACAGAAGTACTTAAAACTTTAGTTAAGTGAACTTACAAATGAATCTCTAACTTAAAAAAGAGGACATATCCTGCAAAAATTCTCATAACATGTCCCCTTTTTCAAGTTAGGTTAACTTGTTTTAATAAAAAATAACATTACTATGGAAAGTTTGAACTAGAATTTAATTTTCCATGGTAATGTTATTTTTTATTAAAACAAATTATTACGATTATCTTTGAATTATTGCTCTGAGATATTTTTAAAAACTTCAAAGTTTTTTTTGATTGATTTCCACTAAATAACTAAAATTTTTTAACTTATATTTATTTATTTCCAAATAGTTATTTAAATTGCAAAACTTCAATATTTTTGATTACATTTTACAGTATGATAATTAGAGTGCTCGAAGTGAAATCCGTGCTATTTTAAAAACATGTAAAGAAAAACAATGCCTTTTTAACTGTGTTTTTTCTTAAATAAAGTTTTTTAAATCACAGAATTTTTTTTTCTAAATGTAAATATTTTTACAATTTTTATACAGATAATCTTCTTGGTGGCCGCTACGTCTGATTTCGAAAGCTATCAACCTAGGTTAATTTCTGGGTAGCTGGTCATAGGTCAACTCAAACTTTCATCCCTCAGGGTTCAATAAATGAGGACACATTTATTCGTTCACATAATTTTTCGACA